TCGACGTGACTTCTGGCATGGAGGACAGGAAGGCGGGTGGGGAGGCGGTTCATGCCTGGAGGGAGAGTCCCCCTCCTTACAGGAAGCCGCGACCACGTGTCATGGGAGGGAAAATGGCCACGGATCCTGTTCGTCACCCGATCCGGCGTTCGTGAACGGAGGCAAAATTTTGCGACGGAGCTGTTCGTGACCCGGACTGGGCGTGAACAGAAGCGTTCGTGAACCGAGGTACCACTGTATAATTATGATTAATAAATAAATATCCCTCTAGTAAAACTAAATGGCTGACTAGGATCTTAAGTCATGAAGAGAAGGTTTGGAGATGATGTATGTTTCCCTCTGAGAAATGACAATATAAAAAGAACACTCTGAAGTCCCCTGTTTATTACTTCCTGGATGAAACACTTGATATTATAAAAGAACATATACACGGCTGCTTTCCGAGTCAGTTCTGCATCTGAACACATTCTAAATGCAGAGATATAGAGACAAGATCACTAAGTCTTTTGATTTGCAGCCCCATGTTAGTAAGTATTTACTAGTTGTACTACAAATCATAAGGAATCTGGTAACACCTTTTCAGATTAGCTATTTTATTTTAATAAAGGTTTAGTGAGGCCCTGGGCATCCACATGGAATTCTGTGAGGTTGTCTGGTTGAACACCACTGCTTTACAAGACTGTCATAATCACGGGTGGTTTTTCACTGCTCTAGACTCATCAGTGGTGAAAACCTACCAGTACAGCTTATACATACTGTATGTTTTTTCCTTTGCTCCGATGAAGATGATCTATATGGCTCGCAATGCAAAGGACGTTGCTGTCTCCTTTTATCACTTTGACTTGATGAATAAGCTACATCCAGATCCTGGCTCCTGGGGTGACTACTTGGAGAAATTCATGTCAGGAAGAAGTAAGTTTTCAGGAAACAAAGTAATGAGACTGAGCTTGCTGCTCACTAACAGAACACTAACCAAAGTCAGATTATAGATAGAACTTTCTTTTTTAGTAAACAAAGAAAATTTCTCCTTTTCAAGTGGGAACATTGAACATCTGAGTGATGCTTGTATATCTGGTTAATAGTGACTGAAAATTCACAAGAATAGTAAAGGAGATTAAAGTATTCTCAATATGTTCAAATCCATTATATCCTTTGTCTCCACAGCTGAGTTCTGGAAAAAAACAACATTAAGCATTAATTAATTTCAGGCAAATCTGGCTGTGCTAATATCTCTCCTACTTCCATACACTGGAGTGAATAAAAGCTTCCCCGCCTATTCAGATTGCAAGGGTTTGTGTGTCTGCAGGAGTGGGATGAGGGTGTTAAAGAAAACCTATTCTTTTTACGCTGCATCTTACCTTCAGCTCTGTGCTTAATTTAACAAGTAGTTCAGCCTTAAGAACCCTCAGTCCCAAACAGCTTTTCACTTTCAGCAGCTGCCTATTTTAATAAGATGGCAAATGAACATAGAAATATACGTTGCCTGAAGTTAAGGGCAACCTTCGTTGTGGAAAAAACAAGCATGATAATTGGACCAATATTTAAGTTGTCATTATGCATTTCTCCTTTCAAACTATGCAGTTGGGAGAAAGTTGTGTTGTGTTATTGTTGTTGTTTACAGGGGTGGGGGTTGTGCCTTCAAGTCAGTCATGACTCCTGGGGTCAATTTTTGGGAGTGGTTTGCCATTGCCTTCCTAGGGTTGAGAGAGAATGACTGGCCAGCTGACTTTGTACCCAAGGCAAGACTAGAATTCACAGTCTCCTGGTTTCCAGCCTGATTATTTTAACTGCTATACCAAACTGCCAGATTACAGTAATTAGGTTCAGCCTATTATTATCCATGTAGATAAAGCTAAACCAAAATGTTCATACCCCAGCATATAGTGAACTTGAGTATAGTTTGGCTTTATTTCCACAATCAGTTTGACTCTTGGTAGGTAGAGTTTTCATTAAGTTTTGATATAGCTACAGACTGTTAGTCAGCCATATATTGATAAAAAGCCTAACTTTGCCAAATTAATAGCATCTTTATCCCAAAAGCTGACTGGTCTAAATTCAGAGCATGCATAGAGGTGGCTGGCAACAATACTGCTAGAAGTCAGTACAAGCTGTTAATTGCAGGCTGAAACAGCTGTGAGATTACTAATAACATTTACAATTTAGAGATGTTTTAAGCGTTCTTTATGCATATTCTGTCATATAGGTCAGATTATTCTTGCCAGGTTCGGGATGGAATTGAGGCTGAGAAGCATGTGATGAGATGAGATGAGATGAGATGAGATGAGATGAGATGAGATGAGATGAGATGAGATGAGGTTTAAAACACTGACTTCCTAGCTCATACTTTAGGTCCTTCAGCTTGTAACTGCTTGTCTCTTTCTTTCAATATGCAGTGATCTTTGGCTCCTGGTACAATCATGTGAAAAGCTGGTGGAATAAGAGGAATGATCACCCCATGTTATACTTGTTTTATGAGGACATGAAAGAGGTAATAGAATAAGAATCCCTCCAGGTATTTTATTAATGATGGATTTATTTTATTTATTTAATCAATTTTTTAAGGCAGCCTACTTGCTGGGCAGCTTACAGAGAGTTAAAACTCTTTGAATACTCATTAAAAAAGCAACCATGCTGGGAAGAATCAGATTATTAGACCATTGTTAGTGCTTACCAGAAGGACAGATAAAACTAACTTGGAGCTTGCTAGAAGAGCCAGTTCCTGTTCCTTCCTGAAGCCCAGCAGGGTCAGGGCCATATGGACCTCAGAGGGGTTATTAGGACAGAAACGGCACAGAAGAAACTTTTTTTTTACAGATAATAGCTTGACTTTTATGTGTAAGATTTTAAGAATCTATTTCTTGAGTCAGATATTGGGTCCCTTTAGCTCAACAAAACATATAGGATTGTTTATTTTATTTTATCCTCCAAGAGGTTTCATGTGGGCGGCAAAACTTTGTGACAGGAAACGCCTTTGTCGCATGGAATGAATATGAGGACCTCATCAACATGGATGTGATTTTAATATGGTTTTCCACAGGATCCAAAGCGTGAGATTAAGAAAATCATACATTTCTTGGGAAGGAACCTTGACGAATCAGTTGTGGATAAGATTGTCTATCACACATCTTTTGATATGATGAAGAACAATCCTGCGACAAACTACAGGATGGCTCCAACTGCTGTAATGGATCACAGCATCTCCCCATTCATGCGCAAGGGTAAGGGGCTGTATGACCTCTTGGATCATTATTCCTTAATCTCTGAATAGGGACATAAACTGATTTTTAGAGATTGTTATTCCTTTATCATTCATTTTCAGCTGATTAATGTTCGATCAGAGGCAATATCTCAGTATATATGCTTCAGTCTCTATATTTTCCATGTAAGTTTGATTCATATTATTTTGCATTTTAGGAATTGCTGGAGACTGGAAGAATCACTTTACTGTGGCTCAGAATGAGGCATTTGATGAGGACTATAAGAAGAAAATGGCAGATACAACATTGCAATTCCGAACTGAGATCTGAGGCTCCCTTTAGCTGTCACAGGGCTGCTGCTTTTCCGCAGTTCCATATAGGATATGTTTTGGGCTCTTGCAAGTCCATCATTTTAAAAGAGGAAGCAGATTCTGACTTGGCAGGTTGCAGAAAATATGTACATGGATTTGGCAAATGCTTCCAGGCTAAAGGGCAAGAGTTTGTTGTGACTTTACTTGGCTTTGTTTGTTTTTGTAACTCAGGTCATAGTCCTCTTTTAATATACCTCCATAGCACTACATTATCCTTTTTGCTGTTTTTAAAAGCAGCTTGGAAAGAACAATTTGGGTAGACAATTTCAGGAAGTCAAAGGATTCATTAGCCCCTTCTGTTATATTTTCAAATTGCAGTGTTAGTCTCATAGGCTGCTATTAATTGAAAAAAGTATTAGGAAAAAAACTACAGCTAAGCATGACTTGTAGATGAAACATTAATAATTTTCAAATACGATCACATAATTTCATCCAAAATTAGGTACCAACAATTATAATGTATAAAAGACATACCTTCAGCAACTTTGAGGAAAAATAGTCATACTTAGATAATAATTTTCTTTGTTTTTTAACTTTCAGGTTATGGTATTTGATCTTATCATTCCCCTCAAATATAAATATATTATGATTTTTAATTACAATAGTAAAAACTAATAGAAACTAAACTTAGAGAAAGAGGAAGATTCTGCCCAGCCCACCTCACAGGGTTGTTGTTGTAGGGAAAATTGGAGGCAGAAGTATTAAGTACAGGTAATCCTTGTTTAGTGACTGAAACTGGTTCCAGTGAAATGGTTGCTAAGCAAATCTCATGACTGAGAGAGAGAGACGCTGCTAAGATCACTGTTTGCTGCTGTCTCATTCAGATAAAGTTCTCTCATACAGTGTTCTGTGTCTGACCCATTCTCCCCACCTTTTTTTGCCCCTTCTCAGGGCGGAGAGATTGCTTAAACAAGCTATCTCTTCCTGAGCTGCTTTTCTTGCAGTACAGCTTGTCCCTAAAAAGTGCTAAGGGTAAGTGAACAAGCTCAGCTCTTAATTAGTTGATTAGATTCACTGCTGCCTGAAACTGACTAGACCTTAATCAGTTTCACCCTGAAGGCTTTGGTTGTCCTAAATGGCGCATTGGTCAGAAAATAAATTTTTATTACCGTTTATTACAGTCATATTTGTGAATGGTTGCTTTTCGAGCAAGTTGCTAAATGAGGACTACGTATATGTTTTCCACTCTGAGCTATCTAGATAGATAGATGAAAAAGAGCAGGATAAAAATATAACAGCAACAACAACAGAGAAAAGGATTTCAATCAGAATCTGTTTTATAATCCATAAAGTGTAAATGTATGTGATTCTGATGGGAGAGTTAAATCATATTTGTTTCTATTTGTTCCTTTATGATGATTTAAATTTAATGTCAAACGAGCCTTCAGCATAGCATTATCATGTGTTATAAGAACTATTAAAATGTGAATGATGACACATTCAAACGTATGTTAGTACAATACCAATGTCTAAACTGAGAAGGCCACTGCACAGGCAAATGTATAAACACGGGTTTCCATTTAGCCTGAAAGTGCAAGCAGTTAGCAACTGCTTTGATTGCCATAAACAGAATAATTTTTCTCCCACCCACCACCATAAATTTTCTCCCTGAATGAACTGTTGGGTAGAAAAAAAACCACTTTCCAACTCATAGGGTAGGTTAGGAGAGTGGCTGGGCTGCAGGAAGGATAGAAGAATTACACCTCTTTTCTCAATACACTGCAGTTTTATCAAAGTCAGTAGGGGTCACACCTATAATTACATACATGACATTAAAACAGCATGACTGCAAGCAACTTGATTAGCAATGCTTTTTTAAAACTTTGATCCACAGACAGGCAGCAGACAGCTCTGGAAGGCATCTTCAGCCTTCAGGAAAAAAAGTTTTTTTTTTTTAACTTGTTTCTTTTAGTACTTTAAGATTTTGAACTGTCTTGAGTGCATTGGCAAAGAGGAAAAATCATAATGTATGAAATAAATGCTGTGACTGCCCCCCTCAACTCTTACTATTCTGGCTTATCATGACTGTGTGTGTGTGTGGTCCTGGGAGAAATAACTGAGTAACGTCAGAAGTGTACACCAATAGCATACATTTCCAGCAAGATCAGCCATGGTCACCCAAGGCAGCCCTGCTAAAGCAAGCACTGATACAAAAAGATGTTGGAGGTGGATGATCACTTTAGTGACAATAGCAAATGCATTATTTCATGCTGTGTGGGAGAAGGCAATGCTAAGTTGCTCCTGCATTTACCAGGAAAATTGCACGATAGACAGTATACAGCCAGTGATGGATAATGGGTTTCCCAGGTTGGATGGCACTCAACGTACTGCTGAGGATCTTTCAGAATACTAATGGTGTTTATGACATGACTAGATTAAAACCTTTAGGACATCTAGTTGCTGATGTCAGGCAGGAAAAGGAAATCTGAAGCTTGAAAGACAATTACAGTGGGAACATGGAACATAAGCACAAACCTGGGAAAGGTCAACAGAGTGGAAAATGAAATAAATGGACATTGGCATCTTTGGTATCAACCAATTGAAATGGACTGAACTAACTGCACAGTTAGGAGATCATATTGTTACTATTCAGGACATGAAAAACAAGGAATGGTGTTGCTTTTATAGTTAGGAAGGGTATAGCAAGAACACTATTTGGCTACAATACAATCCATAACCAAATAATACCAATTAGACAACCCATTAATATTACAATTATCCAAGTTTATGCTCCTATCACTGATAGAGAAAAGGAGATTGAAAAATGTTATGGTCAAGTTCAACCTGAAATTAACAGAATATGCAAGCAAAACCCTGCTTGTGGTTGGAGTTAGAACACCAAAGTTGGAAATATTAAGAAGGAAAATATGGTTGGACTCTATGGTCTAGAAAAACCAAACTGAAGCAGGAGAACGACTTATCAGTTTCTGCCAATCCACTGGTTTCTTCATTGCTAGCAGATGCCTACATACATGGACATCACCAGATGAAGTCCACGGAAATAAAATTGACTGTATTAATTAGTACAAGGAGGTGGAAGAGCTCATTTATAACAGCAAAGAAGTTGCCAAGGGCTGACGGAGGAACAGATCACAAACTGCTTACATGCGAGTACCAAGTCAAACTAAGCACAAAAGCAAAGTTAACCAGTTTCCACGATACCATACGGAACATATACCCACCATTTTCAAAGAGAACATCAGGAATTGTTTTGAAATCCTGAATCTCATTGTTAAGGAACCAGATGAACTGTGGAATGAAATCAATTTTTGTTAAGGATGAATGTGAAAAGAGATTGCCAAGATGAAGAAGCAGAATAAAGCAAACTGTTAGATCAAACCATGGAAATTTCTGAGAAGCCAAAGCCAAGAAAGTTAAAGATCTTAGGAAGGAACTTAACAAAGAAATTTAAGATGGCTGTTAGAAGCAGTATTGTAGTGATATCTGTAGATATTGACGATGGAAACAGACAAGAGTGGGTATGCTCCAGATCCCCTCTATTAAATGTTGTCATCTTGTGGTACCAAGGAAGTGTGCCTCTGTTGCAGCCCCCACCCTCTGGAACAGCATTACCCCAGAGATGAGGACAGCACCCTCTCTCTAGGGTTCCAGAAAGCTCTGAAAAACCTGGCTTTGGTCCCAGGCCTTGGGCTGATGTTTTATTATTTGTCTAGGGCCTGTTTTATTTTGGTTGATTTTGGTATCTATAAGATTATTTTAGTCTGGGCTGTCCATCTGATTTGGTGCTTTAATCTGTTTTTATGTGTTTCTAGTTTTGTATGCCACTCAGAGTCCATTGGAGTTGGGCGGCTAATAAATTCAAACTAGACAACCCTGTGGCCTGTTGGGTCATCCTTTGAGAGAAAGGTAGTGCAGTCAGATGTGACCAGAATGAACATTAAATTTTAGGCTGACCGTATTTTTTTTTACCCCAATGCTGGATGGTCCCGTGATCATCTAAGAAGAGTATATATCATAAATAGAAAAATAATTGTATTGGCAAGCAGACTTCAATAATAAGCCAATATTTACTTACCTAAACAGATAAACAGAATGACCACGGACAGGCAAAAAAGCAGTGGGAGTGATTTCCGACTTCCCCATTGACTTTGCTTGTGGGAAGCTGGGTGCATCAGAAATCACGATCACATGACCACAGGGATGCTGCAATGGCCACAAGTTTGCAAATAAAACTGGTGTGGACATATGGAAATTTCAATTTCACAGGAGTAATGGGTCCTTTTTTACGCATTCTTTAAGTTAGTGGATTTTAGGTACCCGGATTCAAAAATTGTTGCAGTATAATGTACCACTTGCACTAACTTGTGGGTACAGATAAACACAATGAGAGTTTTAGTACTATATAGATAAATAAATATATAGTAAAATAAGGAAAAACAACATTTTTCCAAAAGATCTCCAAACTCAGAAGGAGGTTCTAACCTCAAATTGGTATGCTAAATGATGGCAATGGATACTGATTCAAAAAAGATAAAGATGAATGAGTATACTAAAATTCTGTACAGTAGAGATGTCAGTATTCAAGATACCTTAGAAGTTATTTCCTATTTTCAAGAGCTTCTAATACTAGAAAATGAAGTTAGATAAACACTCTGGCATTTCCATGTTGGAAGGCTGCAGGAATTGACAGAATACTTACAGAAATATAGCAAGCAACAGAAGAAGAAGGTTCTAGCCAAACTATGCTAGCAAATCCAGAGAACAACACATGGGCCAATATATTGGAAGAGTCAGTCTACACACTAGTAGCAAAGAAATGAGACTTAACAAACTGCAAACTATTGTGCAATATCCTTAATTTCATATGCTAGCAAAATAAAGCTTAGGATCATCAAATGAAAATCAGAGTCCTACGTGAAAAGGGAGATGCCAGATCTTCAACGTGGTTTTTAAAAGGCTGAGGTACAAGAGATATTACTGCTGATGCATGCTGGATAATGAAAAAAAGAAGTCAATATCTGCTTCACTGACTATAGAAAAGCTTTTGATTGGGTTGACCATGTCAAGCTGTAGAATGTCTTTAGGATAATGGAAATCCCAGAACATCTCATTGTTCTCATGTGAAACTTTAACACAGGACAGGAAGCCATAGTCTGGATGGAACACAGCAAAAAAGACTGGCTCCAGGTTGGTAAAGGTGTGGGACAAGGCTGTACAGTTTATTTATTTAACCTATATGCTCAATACATATTGAGGGGGCTGGATTGGAAGAAGATTAGTATGGTTTTAAAATTGGAAGAAGAAATATCAATAATCTGCACTATGCTAATGTCACTACTCTGCTGAAAATGCAAATGATCTGGAAACTCTAGTAGTCAAAATAAAAAACACAGTGAAAAAAATGAAACTATTAAATATAAAGGAAAAGCTACTGAGAACAGGTACAGCAACCAGCCTTAGAATCAACAATAACTATCAGTGATGTAGTGGTGGCTAACGTCTACCCTTTAGGATCAATTACCAACAATAAAGGAAGCAGTAGTCAAGAAAGAAGCTGCAGACTTGGTCTTCTTGCATAAAACAGAAAAAAAATGAACTTATGATGTTTTGCAATTAGGCTAGATTATAGAAAGAAGAGTATCATGATGTAACTTCAGAGAAAGAGGTAAATCTACAGGTGTACTTATAACTGCTATAAAGAAGATCAGAAGCCACTTTATATCTTTTTTCTTTTTTCCTCACCTTTTCTTTTTGTTCTTTAACTTTCTCTTTCATTTATTCCTTTTTCTTTTTTCCTTCTTACTCTATCTCAGTTTGTATTAATTTTTACTCTTGTTTTTAAAACTTTCAATAAAACTAAAATAAAAGAAAGATGCTGCAGACTAGAACCTGGTAGGGTAGCAATGAAGGCCTTGGAAAAGATACTTGAATGCCATGACTTCAATGTCTATATAGTAATCCCCTATGGAAGTGAAAGTTGGAATTTCAGAAAGCAGGATAGAAAGAGTATTGATTCTTTTGAAGTTTGTTGTTGGAGAACACTCCTGAGAATACCACAGAAAGCCAAGAAGTCAAACAAATGGATAATTGAACAAATAATCGAGAATTGTCACTCAAGGCACAAATTAACAGGTTCAAATTTTCATATTTTGGACACATTATGTGCAGATCTAGTTCTCTTTAGAAGTGAATATCGCTGGGAAAGGTGGAAGAAAAGATAACAACCAGCAGCAAGGTGGATGGACTCAATTGCAGCAGTGATGGGTACACTATTGGAAGACCTGAAGGGCCAGATTGGGGATAGACTATCCTGAGGAAGGTCTATCTATGTGGTTGTTAAGAGTTGACACTGACTTGATGTCACATAATCAGTTCTTCAACAGAAGACTTGCCTCAGGACTGGACCATCTCCTACTTTTTTCTTAGGACTAGCAACACTCATGAGGCAACAAATGGAGCTTCTCCACTCTTCCTACTGAATTCAAAATTGCAAAATATCATGAGGCATCCCTCTCTTTAAAAGTGTTTCAACTGGGAAAGGTGGAAGGAAAGAGAAGAAGAGGATGACCCAACAGCAAGGTGGATGGACTTGATTACAACAGCTAAGAGTGCACCACTGGAAGACTTGAAGTTCCAGGCTGAAGACAAATCCTAGAGAAGATCTATGCAGTTGCTAAGAGTCAACACTGACTTGATGGCACATAATCTGATTTGATGGCACTGTGATTGCAGATTCAGATGACATGCATACACTTCCAGTCTGAATTATAAGATGCTTAAGAATTAAATTTTAAAAAGATGGGGGTTTTTTGGAGGTGGCTTTGAGTCAGTGTTGACTCTTGGTGACTGTCTAGACAAGTCCCTGCAATTTTCTTGGCAAGATTTCAGAAGTGGATTGCCATTGCCTGCTTCCTAGGGCTGAGAGGGAGTGACTGGCTCAAGGTCACCCAACTGACTTCATGCCTAAGGTTACACCAGAACTCACAGTCTCTCATTTTCTAGCCTGATGCCTTAACCATTACAGCAAACTGGCTCTAGTGTGGAATTTAGTGCTGCACTAACTGAAAAATTCTTCAGTTGCAAGTCCAGGTTCTCTGCATAAAATACCTCGGTTCACGAACGCTTCTGTTCATGAACAATTCGGTTTGCGAACAGCGGCGTTCGCAAAATTTTGCTTCTGTTCGCGAACTCCGCATCAGGTGACGAACACGACCCATGGCCATCTTCCCTGCTCTGACACGTGGTCGTGGCTTCCTCTAGGTGAGATCGCGGTTGCAGACGGACACTTGCAGTGAAGCTTTTTGGTGTCGCCTCAAGCAAGGTTAGTGTTCTCTCTCTTCATACTGTACTGT